TTGACTATCTTAGAAATACAGAGTTTAGTCCATCACACTCTTAACTGGTTAACTATCTACCCTAGAGTTTGTATAATTCCTAGCGGATGCCATTCACTTAATTTAGAGAGTACAAACTAATAGGTACAGCATAAATTATTGTGCTTGTCAGTTGTCGATTGGGAATGACCATATGTACTCAGCAAGAAAGGTGTTTCTTTATACTTGTTAATCATAAAATTTGAGAACAAAAAGATTTTCCCTATTGCTGTTGCCTTTAGTAAGAAATACATCAACAGATTAGACCATTTCATCTTTGGTTTTACATTTAGATTCCTGGAGTATTGCCAGTGTTTATTTTAGGTGGCCACTGGAGGTCAGTATTTCTCTGATTTTCCCTGTCCTTCAGCTGGGAACTGGCCTTTGTTTTCAGGTACTTCGATAACTCTAAAATTTTGCTCTTCTTTTTTCAAAAATGCTTCCAAGAAGAAAAAAAGAGCACCTGGAAAATGGATAAAATTATTATATATATTATATGATTGAATTCCAAGCTACTAGCATGAAAGATGTGTTTACTAACAATGAAATTTACCTTTGTTGGATTTTCCATAATGATAGTTATAAAATCTATGTAAATTATATCTTGATATAGTAAATATAAATAAATATACTTGCCAAGGCATGGGTACAATTTTTTAACATTGCTTATTAAAAAAGTTATATTAGGGGCCGGCCTGGTGGCGCACTGGAGAGTGCGCCACTTGGGAGCCCCACCAAGGGTTCGGATCCCATGTGGGGACCGGTTCCCGCTCACTGGCTGAGCGTGGCGTGGGCGCAACACTGAGGGTTGCAATCCCGTTGCCAGACCCCGGTACGGGCGCGACACCGAGGGTTGCGATCCCGTTACCGGCCAGTAAAAAAGACAAAAAGGGGAAAAAAAAAAAGTTGTATTAGAAAAATAGCAGACATTAACTTCAGTGGCTCTTGATTTTCTTGTTATGTAATGAACTCTAGTCAGGACACGTTTCCTTGATTAGAGTCCACTTAAAATGTCATCTTGATATTCAGAAACCTTGACTAGAAAAGAACCTTTCAATTATCTAATAAACCTTTCAAATCATTCTAAATTATGAAAAAGTCCTAGATAAATTCTGATTCAGTCCATAATAAATGAACTCATTTTGATCTCTTCCTCTAAAAATGAATGCCTAAATGAACATAGCTTTCCTTTACCCCAAATGAAAATACCACTTTATTTCTTACTCCTTGTCCATGTTCACTAGGTAGCCTAAATACCCTTAAAACTCCTTTCTATATCTGAAAGTTTTCTCTTCAGGAATTCACTGATATTGGTAGACATGTGTAAAAATTTCTGTACTTTTGTTGCCAGATTGTATATCCTCAAAGTTGAGGTTTTGTCACTGATAGTAGGGCATATTTCCTAGTCTAAATTCCTGTTTATATATTTGCTGCTGTTATTATTCTATATAATTGCACTTACTGATTCATGTAGGACACATACCATATAGGCATTTGGGTTTACATGAGAATATAACACAACGGTAAAAAATTTTGACCAGGAACAGCATGGAGTAGACACACTTCTATGTTTGACACTAAGTACAACTAAAAATCCTGGACGTGATATATAAAAGAAATATTAGAAGACTCCGAAAGGTGGAGGAAGAAGAAGGTAGACAAATTAGGGACCTTGGGACTCAAGGAGTGACACAGTGATGAGTTCCCCGTGTTTTCTTTTTACCTCTTATATTCAGTACTAGGTGCTGGGGAAGCTAGCAACTCAGAAGTACCAGTGGACACAGACAAAAACAAATAAACAAAACAAAACAAAAAAACCCCAGAAAGTCTGTTCTCTTTACTCAAAGGACCAAAAAAGGGACTGCCTTGAATACAGAAACCTTTTAGACAATAACTGCCCTACTCCATCCAAACACCATGGGAACAAAAACTGCCGTACCACATCTAACAGTCAAGGGCAAGTGGGGAACCTAGACTTCCACCCTCTCTCAGCCTTAAGGAGGCACCCTTCCTTACTCTCTATTCCTTACTAGGGTGGTGTGAGAAGGCTGAATGGGGAGCCTAGACTTTCCACCACTGCCCAGAGGCAATGAGGCTTGCCACCACAGTATCAGTGAAGGCCACATGGGGACCAGAAATGAGACACCCCTTCACTTTCGCAGCTAGATTGTATGAGAGGAGGCCTGTTGGAAGCCTAAACTCCCACCTCCTCCCAGTGGTAACTGCCCCCCAACTCCTGATATTAGAGGCTGAGTGGGGAACCTGGACTTTTATCCCCATCTGACAGCAATGAAGTGACACCCTGTACACTTCCCCCACTGGTACATAGTCAGAAGAGTCCTGCTAAAATACTAGATTTAAATAAGATCCATAACATAGTACCCAAAATGTCCAAGATACAATTGAAATTCACTCATCATACCAAGAACCGAGAAAATCTTAACCTGAATAAGAAAAGATCAAAAATAGCAACACCAAGATAACACAGATCTTGGAATTATCTAGGATATTTAAGCAGCCACCATAAAAATGTTTCAACAAGCAATTACAAACACACTTGAAAAAATAAAAAATAGAAATAGTAGAGAAATATAAGGAAGTTAATGAAAATTTCAGAGCTGAAAAACATATTAATAGCTAAAGGAAGTTTCTGAAACAGGAAGGAAATTATGAAAGAAGGAATATTGGAACATCAGAAGGAAGAAAGAAAAGTTAGAATAAAAATATAGGGTTCGTTAGAGGGTGACAGTTTCTTGGTCTTACCTTGAATTTGCATTTTTAATAAGCTCCCCCTAGTGGTTTTCAGGTGGCAGAATTGGAGACCCTTTGTTGTTCTAAAGTCAGGGGCAGATCCTGAACACACATCACTGATTCACAAACTCTTTAAGAAGCATGTTGACTGGGGGAACCTCCCTTGCCTGAGTGGTAGCTTGAACTTTTCATCCTAAGTCATGCGGGTCAGAGAGCCAGCAAGAAAAGGAAGGCACGCTCAGAGAATTTTGGAGAGAATTTAACAAAACCACCATTCACAGAGGTGTAGGCAGGGTTAAGGCAGGTAATAAGGGATACTAAAGCAAACAAGAACTATCAAGAGTTTAAAGATGTTACTGTCCTTGCAAATGGAAGGAAATAGGGGGTCACCCAGCAGGAGCAGTAGTCAGGATATATAGTTACTGAAGAACCCAGCCCTGCCAGAACCGCAAGGCTCTAAGCATGGAGAAAGTAGAGGAAGACACATCAAAGGCTTTACTTCCTCCTACCCTTGATCTGCTGGTGCCTCCCATTGGTAGAACTGAAATGGAAGGAAGCAAGGAACAAGGAAGAACTGGATGATAGAGCTCAGATTACAGTGGGAGGCAAGAAAGGTGGAGTATATCTGGGAGTAAGGTAAAGGGAAGTAACCAACACAGTTCTAAGCAAAATGAAGGAGAGATAACTGGATAAGTAACCTGTGCCTGGGTAAAAAAAAAAAAGCCAAAACAAAATAAACAAAACACTTGTGTGCCAATGTAAGTGGACAGCACTCATTTTATGACTAAATTCTAGCATACTTTAAAGAAACATTCAACATATCTAACCAACTAATACTTTTAGTCCAGTTTTCTCTTAAGAAAGCCAATTCTGAAATCCATTAGGCACATAATAGATGTGATTTCACCTGTGAGATTTCTACTTCCTGTTTGATTTTTCTGGCCAGGAAATGTACATTATTATGTTAAATAAAAAAGCAGATCATCTTTACCTTAGGGTTAAGGTTGGAATTCAGCCATCTTTAGGTAACCACAAAAGATACATTCCCCTTTATCTGATAAAGGCATTCAGGCCTTTAACAGTAGATGATTGACTTTTAGGCCATTCACATCTATAAATCACTATTGTATTAAGCAGTCACCTTTCTTTTCTCTTGCAGAGAACATCATGGGAATGCTATGCAGCCCTCTATCAAGGATAACAGTGGTAGCCATGGCTCTCCTATCAGCGGAAAATTAGAAGGCATCTTCTTCAGCTGCAGCACTGAATTCAATACTGGGAAGCCACCCCAGGATTCACCTTATGGAAGATACAGGTTTGAGATTGCAGCAGAAAAACTTTTTAATCCCAACACTAACTTATACTTTGGGGACTTCTACTGTATGTACACTGCTTATCATTATGTGATTCTTGTTATTGCCCCTGTGGGATCACCAGGAGATGAATTTTGTAAGCAGCGTCTTCCTCAACTAAATTCCAAGGATAATAAATTTTTGACCTGTACAGAAGAAGATGGGGTGCTGGTTTACCACCATGCCCAGGATGTCATTTTAGAAGTCATTTACACTGACCCTGTGGATCTTTCTCTGGGCACCGTGGCAGAAATCACTGGTCATCAGCTCATGAGTTTGTCTACTGCAAATGCAAAGAAAGATCCCAGCTGCAAAACCTGTAATATCAGTGTTGGACGTTAATGCCCACTTTTCTTATTCTTATTCTTATTCAATCCCTATTCTTCCCTTAGGAACATTGATTCTCTTTTGTTCATTTTCACCACCAGATGTTTTCCACTGAAGCATGCACATGCCGCTATCACCAAAAACCAACTACCACTTTTCAAATTTCATTCAGAGCCATTTTAGTGTTTCCTATTCCCTACACTTCCCACTACTTTCAATGATGAAATATCCTGTTTTCCTTCTGACACTTTATTGTCTAGATGCTGCAATGTTTTTATTTTTCCTTTATGCCAAACATAACAAAACAATTATATAGACCACTTTAGCAAGATACAAAATAATGGCTTATAAATGGTGTTTAAATATGCATTCATTTTAATATACTGAACAAATATTGGGATAACTCCAAACCGCATGAAAGGGTGTAATTGCAGCATGAGTTAAATCTTGAAGCCTAGAATTGTCAGCACTTCCAACTTGTTGTTTGACAGTGTTATTTATGTTATTTATATTAGCTAACAGGAAACAACTACTGTGTTTCAACATAATAAATATAATACAAAAATATTTTATTTGTATTGTTGTATAAAATATTTACAATCATATAGAAGATATAGAGTTACATTTTAATAGCAATTGTATACATGTCACGAAACCATTTCCCTTATCAAAGATGTAATTTGTAAACCTCAAATAGTTGTGTATCTGTCCTGTTACAAGTAGATGACTTCGATTAAACAAATTTATGAAGGACATTATTCTGATTCATAAAAGTTATAAAATACCTGGTAAATACAGAGAATACAATAAGCCTCTGAATAGTCTGCTTCTGAAATAGTCAATATTCTTTCCATCTAAACTGTATGAAAATGTGAATTTCTTCAACATCATGCTTAACATTACAGAAAATAGATATACAGACGTGGTTGGTACATGGAAGAAAATGTCAACCTTTTACTTGTTTTTACAAAAACAAAAATAAATGTGTTTTAGTACAAAATTACACAAAACAAGATAATTTAGTACAAAATTACACAAAACAAGATAATCACAACTAAAGTTGATGAAGCAAATAAAACTTTCTGGTTTCTTTTCCAAGGTGTCATGGCAAACAATTTCCAAACTTTTCATTTTGTACAGAATGAAGAATAACTACAGCTCATGAGAAAGTTTTTTGACTTTACAAAGTACAGATCTTAGAACATTAAGAAAAATGCATATTCTCAATGGAAAAATAGTTATATAATCTTAGTTATAGTAAACAAAAAGATTAGCAATAATACTATGGTCACATTAGATTATATACTGAAGACACATATCTATCCAAAATACCTATTTTAAAATTTTAATACAGTACTTTATTTTAATATAAGCATCTGTCAATTATAGACAAAGATAATAATTCACAAAGTACATGCCATCAGAATGAACTTTGGTAACCAGAAATGTAAAATTTCAAATAACAGATAAAATAATGTGCTATTTTTATATAGAAATAAAAAATTAGCAGTGACACATTCTAATATATTTTAGGGTACCGAAATCCTAGCAGACTTAAGTGACAAGATAGTATACGTTTTATCACTTAAAAATCTATTAGAAGTTTTAAATAATTTTAATACCTGTGTTCCTTCCTACATGAAAAGCAGAATTTCTTTTTATCCTTTCACTGATTTTTTTAAATCATGCTCTTTTCCATACATCAACATAAACAATCTTTGGACACTAAGTAAACTTTCCCTAATAAGTGGCCCAGCTATGCGTTATTTATGTTTGATAAAATATTAGATGTTTTTGAAATAATTATATTGAATATGAGTTTTCTCCTTGGCATGGAAGAGGCTGAATTTTTTTTACAATTACATGGTTACCTGTTGAATTTTCCCCCCCATTTAAATCCTTCCTCGTATATAATTACACCCGCTATCCTTTCTTAAAAACAGCTAATACTATCACTAAAGTGCTTCCATTTTTGTTATGTCAGAACTACTTAGCAAGAATGGCAGAGGAAAATACACTTGACTTTATCTTGGGTGAAAGTGATCATAAACATTTCCTGAACCTCAAATAGTTTTGGCCACATCTTGCTTGCTGATAAGGACCTCTAATAGTCTCAGTTTCGCTTTTATGTGCTTGTATTCATAGTACTCATCTGCCATTGGTATCTTGTCTTCCTTTTGTGGACTTCTGCAAAACGGAAAATACAGGGTATAGTTCATAGTGAATAAAGTCATTATATATCCTTTTATGATTCATACATGAGAAAGTACAGGGTAGCAGCTTCCACTTGGTTTTTGCATCATGTCTTCTTTACCTTCCCTTTCACTTTCATTGTCTTCACCCTCTTCTATGTGGTATTAGGTTTCTAAATAATAGTACTTTTTGAGAACTTGAATGTCACAGGTGTTTTGCAAGTATGTGGCTCAGAGCCTAGACATATAATAATGCAATGCAGCAAGTGAAAAAGTCTGAAGAGAAAAAAACCAAAACCTTTAAGGCATTCCTTGTCTGGTTATTCTCCCATTACCTGCCTATGCAGAATGTTCAACCCTTATAGTGAGAGTTGTTAAAAATATCAACCTGAAAATACTACAGAAATTTGATTACACAAATGATTTATAAATTTAGGGTGACAAGAAAAAATGCTCAGTTGGCTGTCTTACAAACTTGAAATATTTCCAAGTTTTCTTGTAATTATAAAACCTGTCTCTCTAATGTATAGTAGAAACACCAAGCTGTTTCTTGATTGAAGTAATTTGTAAGAGCCTAAATTACAATGATTCTCTTTGGCACACTAATTCTACTAAGACTAGACATAATAACAATGCATAGATTTGTATACATAAGCAGTCAACAACTGCCTGCCCTTGCTATTTACTTTGAAGAAGAATTGGGTAACATCTGGAGTTAAAACCATTTGCCTCCCCACAAAAAATATGTTGTCAATATATGTTTTTTAAAGGGAAATAATGGTTATAGAGTCTCAGGAGGCTCTTGTCTTCTTGATTAATAAGATAGCCAATGGTTTTTAATGGTTTTTCCACCCATGACTTTGAAATACAAGGCATAGAAAACATAGATGTAGTCACTACAATGACAACTGAATATTTTCTAATATTAGTATGACTGAAACTGGGCAAATTATTTAATGTTTTACCCATAGCCCCCTTCTATTTTCCCAATAGTGAGAAAGAGATATTTCTATTTCTTATAAATGAAAAAAAACCAAGCTAACCTTTAAAGATTCTCTAAGATTGTAGTTACCTACTTGTGTTGCACCACTATATACTACCCTGCAATTTCTGGTACAGAACTCAGAACATAGACAGCATTCCTCTTAAATGTTGTCTAAAATATGTAACAAATTCATTGCCTCCTTTCTGTGTTATGGGCCAAACTTATAGCCTGGTGTCTGAATACTACCTTAATTTATATAAACAGATCTACATGAAGAAATGGTCTAATTATTACAGGAAAACACTAACAACCATTATATAACTTTTTCCTAGTTCTGCATATGCCATTTTGGCTAATAAACAAGAGTGCTTTGACCAAAATGAAAATTTTGCTATGTTTCCTGTATTACCATTATATACAAAGCTATATTACCATTATATAAAAAATACTAAAGAACTTAGCACAGTTTCTGGCTCATACTTGTTAATAATAATGTCATATCTATATGATTATGATGCCACTTAATATGGTAAATACTACCAAGGAGATTTACAGTGCCTTAAAAATTTTAGTAATCCATTTGCATGGTTATTTTACCTTATGGATGGCTAGGCCTTCCCAATAAAATGCCTTAGAGGAACAAGGGTAAGGTCCATATTTTCTAGCCATTCAATTCTTTGATTTTAGTTCTAATAGCTCACTACTTTTGCATTTAGTTGAATTATATCACCACAAGAGGGCATACAACCTTATAGTCAAATATAGGCATATATGAAGTGGGTTTAGGAATCACAGGTGCAGTAGAATACTATTCATAGAACATAACTAACTTCCTTGTATGTCAAAAGACATGCCAAGTAACATTGCAGGTCTACCAGGCAGAACTACAAGTACACTGGGAAGTTCTCAAACTCTTTATGGTATACACCTGGGTTCAAATTGGTAAAAATGTCAATTTATTCAGGGAAATCTAAGTTATAAAAAGCATGTATGCACATCTTAAAGTGATTAACTCATTTTTCATATGTAAGGACTATTTAGATTTAGAATATTGTTAACATCTCCCCAAATATTTCCCCAAATGAAAAATTTCCACAGAGTTCTTTTAATCTAAAAGAGCTACAGATCAGGAACTTCGATACAAGTCATATATATACCCAAAACATATAGCAGACAGTCCAGACAGTCAAAGTCACCATTCCAAGGAATGTTTTGTAGGAAAGCTGCATGAACATTTTGTAAAAGAAAAAAAGTATGGAAAAAGAAAATAAATAAGAAATCATGTTTTACACTTTAGGTTTGGCAGCCACATAACATTTATTACTAGATTAGCAACATCAGCAGAAAGGTAAGTAAATTGGACTTGTAGCAATCAACAGGAAAGGAAGATTTCATGTAGAAAACTAGGTGGGTTACATCTGTATTATCTAAGTACAAAAAGGTTTTCACTTAATAGGTCCAGTCCCAGTGAACAGCCCTTATGAACTGAAATGGAAGAGCTGCCAAGTACTTAGAGGGAAGCAGACCAAGCTTGAAAGTGTCTTTAAAAAATAGTCCCTTTCCATTAGGGCAACCCTTAGGCTGCTGAACTGAAAGTAGTTCAGGAAAAGCAAATACCTGGATGGAGAGGAACAAGGAGCCAGTATAGCGCTGACTCCAGTGCTTATGCTCTGAAATGCAAAGGAAGAATTCAGTCTCACCTGTGCCACTTAATGGCTTTGTGACTTTGGAAAAGTTACACCCTTTACTGATTTATTTATTTTTTAAAGATTCATGTTCCACATGACAGCTGTAGCTTTTCAGAGTATCCCAGGAGCCCAATCATTTCAGTTTATAAAGGAGGAAACTGAGGTTCAGGATAGCTAAATGGTTTGTCTCTGTCTCTTCCAGAAGCAGATCAATAACACTTATTTCCTAATTACACATGTAATCTGGATGATACACCAAAAATTAGAAGAAACTAATGGAATGTATAATGAGATTTGGGTTGAGACAGTAAAATAGAGGACAAATAGAGGATCTGAGTAAACATTTGTTTAAGGGATGGAAAGAATGGCTATGAACTTTTGACCAAATCTTGAAATAAATTAAGGGAAGATCCTGAATTTTAAAGGAGATATTTAAAGCAAAGGAAGAATTATTATTTGATAAAGTAAGGAATAATTTGTGAAAAATAAGAAACCAAAAATAAAGAAGTTATATGGGCTGAAAAACCAAATAAGTTTTTAAATTCAACAGTTACAATGAGATTTATTATGCAAAGTTAGGGATTTTTAGAGTTTATCATTATTTTTTAAAGATTGTTATACTTGACAGCTACAGTCTCCCATAAAACATCCCTAATAATTATCAGAATGTTGCATTGGACAAATCTGAGTCTAAGCCATTGTGGAAATTATTTACATCTTATATAAAGTCACTGTTCCTACAAAAAGTTGCAGTTCATTCTTAGCAATAGTGCTGTAGGAAATATTTTCTGCCCACTTACCTTCCTGTTTGTTTAAAAAACTGTTCTTCAAATTCTCTTAATGCTTTCCGCAGTCTCTTCTTGTCAGCTCTAGTTTCTCGGAGATGGTCAAGAAGTACAGGCCTATATCAGGTAAAATGTACATTTGCCATTATTGAGCACTGGCATAATAGCATCATGAGCAGATTTATCTGTTCAGCAAAAAAAAAAAAAAACACATAACAATTGAGAAGTGTTCTGATCATAAAAAAGTGTTTTGGAGTAAGTATGGCACACATGGCCTGACCGTAGGGGAGCACATAAGCATAGGAAATTACCTGATAAAAACAATATCATAGGAAAGGAAAAAGGACAGATAACAGGCAAGCAGATTAAGTCTATTATAAGAAGTGGCAAGGGTAATGGCAATATGAATGGGTGAGAGAGTAACAGACATTTTGAAGGAATACTCATCAGTATTTGGTGGTAGACTAAACAAGAAACACAGAGGAAGAGATTTTTTTAAAATTCTATCCTCCAGGGCCGGCCCGGTGGTGCACTCGGTAGAGTGCGGCGCTTGGGAGTGCAGCGGTGCTCCTGCCGAGGGTTCGGATCCCATATAGAGACTGGTCCGCTCACTGGTTGAGCGCAGTGCGGGCGCGACGCTGAGGGTTGCGATCCCATTGCCGGTCGCGGTACGGGCGCGACACCGAGGGTTGTGGTCCCGTTACCAGTCACGAAAAAAGACAAAAAGGAAAAAAAAAAATTCTATCCTTAATCTAGAGTATAGGGAGAATGGCAAAACCCATGGGAATGAAACTAAGACCCAGAAGAAAGTTGTAGTTACGTTGCAAATTTTATTCACTTCATTCTACTAAGACAGGAGAGAAAAGTCATACACTTCAGAACAGGAATTTTTTTCTGGTCCGCTCACTGGTTGAGCGCAGTGCGGGCGCGACGCTGAGGGTTGCGATCCCATTGCCAGTCGCGGTACGGGCGCGACACCGAGGGTTGTGGTCCCGTTACCAGTCACGAAAAAAGACAAAAAGGAAAAAAAAAAAATTCTATCCTTAATCTAGAGTATAGGGAGAATGGCAAAACCCATGGGAATGAAACTAAGACCCAGAAGAAAGTTGTAGTTACATTGCAAATTTTATTCACTTCATTCTACTAAGACAGGAGAGAAAAGTCATACACTTCAGAACAGGAATTTTTTCCTGGAGAACTTGTGTTTCAGAGACTAAACTCCCTGAAATTATATACGGGCATTTTCTAAAAAAAGTTCCATTGATATCAAAAAAGTCCAACCCCCCCTAAAAAAAGTAAGAAATAGCAGCTTTAGAATAATACCAAAAAAACCAAAAACAGCCAAAAGAAAAAGGATTTTCTGCTTCTGAACAGGTCACACTTCTTTGAACTGAAATTAAGATACCAACTGGTTTTACAAGCACATTAAAATCTCAATTTATAACTTAGTCCTTGATCTCACCTCATACCTATTTTGGAGCATAAACTCACCTCACTATATAATACATGTTAAAGAAAATCTCATAATCCGTGCTGTACAAACCAAAGAAGGTCAAATGATCAAGAGGAATGCCAGATACTGAATAATGGTAATAACAATAATGATAATACAGTATTAAAGGAACTCCAAAGAGCTCCTGATCAAGGCTATAAGAAAACAAAGGACAACTTGTTTACATAAGGCCCTTGGGATTCCCAATCTGACACACATCTAAATGGAATGGACTAGGATAAAGGCCCTGACAACTGTTGACCCACACATTTTCAAAGGCCAGCTCAAGGCAGGCCAGTTAGCTCAGCTGGTTAGAATGCAGCCTTATAACACCAAGGTCACAGGGTCAGATCCTCATAATCGGCCAAACACACACACACACACACACACACACACACACACACACACACACACACACACACACCTCAAAGGCCAGCTCTGCTTCAAACCAGAAGAGAGTCAGACTAGTACTAGAACCCTGCCAAAAAGAGGTGTGATTACAGCAAATTGAACATTAGCATCTGTGGCACCATTACGACTTTATTGGGAGCTGTGGCTCCTCATGGCTTTGTCTCCTTGATTCTTCATTTAAAAGGTACCCCAGACCAGAAAGAGTTAAAAGGACACTCCACACATAGGATTCATACTCACATGGTGGCTTCATGTAAATTGGACATGGAGAGAGCTGGTTGTTTCACTTCTTTCTTTTCATCTGGTAGCAACACCCTAACAGGCTCAGCCTCATTAGAGTAGGTGACATGATCGCCAATAGTAAGATGAGATGCCGGACCTGGCAAAGAAGATTGTTGGCTTTGCTCAGGACAGTCTTCATCTGAGTCCTCTTCCTCCTGCTTATCACAGGAAAAGTTAAACAAACAAAGTCACGAAATGTTAACTGCCTCTGGAGGAAGCAAAAACAGGAAGGGGAATCATAAAAGACACCAGGAAAACCAGTAGGTGACCCTTGTGCCTACTGAGAACTGGGAATGGAAGCTACCAACAGGAGCTCTCCCTCAGTTGCATTCCATTTAGTTTTTAATTTGCAGAAGTTAATGAGCAAAGAGGCACCCATGCTGGGCCATATGTTCACCAAGTTCATCTGTGTTTACTGGGTGAAACACTTTCAATTGCACTGCCACTTCCCTATCACCCACACTTTCTAGGCCCCATCTTCATACCAGTGATATGGGTTAGGATGAGATGGAATTAAGACACCTTTTGTTATCTAGAAACACACCAAGTCAGGTCCCGGTATGGGCCACATTTAGATACAGAGGATAAACTGACAAATTCAGAGAAAAGCTCTTTGAAGGCCAAAGCAAAGTGGGGTTACTCTGTAACATGTTCTGATAATTCATATCACAACCAAAAGATCTTACAGGAAATCTGAAAATTGTACTCCATTTTAAATTATATGTCCTTAATGGGAAAATTTCAAAGATTATGAATCATCATTCTCTTAGTGTCTTTAAAAATATAGAGGTATAAATGTACTCAACTATACTTAAATTTACATTTGTCAGTATTTATTCCTTTTTACATTGGTATCTTGAGCATATCTTGTTCTGATATTGATGGAGTAGGATTTGTGGTGCTTTTCTAGTTCTGTATTTCCATAAATCATTCTTTAGTAAAAGCAATCTAACTCAATTTCAGTACTCCTATTTTATATTGAAATAAGTCTACTCATATCTTGTACAGTATGGTCAAATAGTACCAAAAAACAAATGTTGCATTATGTTAAGGACTATATTATCAATTTTCTTATTAAAGGAGAAAAATTAACCATCAGGCACAGAATACAAAGACTTCATTTGTCCAGCTGTGTTATAAACTAGACAGTGCTAAACTGAAATCTATCATTTTTTTTTTTACTTCACCCAAGGCAATGAAAGCAAATGTTAAAACTTGCTTTAAGCATACAACTGTTTCACAATAGTTGTAATTATCAGCCACTGTTAAGTAAAATACTGGGTTTAGAGAAGACCACATTTCCACTTTTTGGAATAACAACTGGTCTTATTATCATGCTTTAAGCATACAACTGTTTCACAATAGTTGTAATTATCAGCCACTGTTAAGTAAAATACCGGGTTTAGAGAAGACCACATTTCCACTTTTTGAAATAACAACTGGTCTCATTATCCACTTTTTGGAATAACAACTGGTCTTATTATCAGTAAATACTGCCAAGAAGGCTCCTTTATAACTCTCATAGTGCTAACTATGACATAGTGCTAACTAAACAATACAAAGCACCAGTACAGGTGCAAACATTCTGACTTACAATTGTTGGAATAAGAGAAGGCGTTGACAAGATTTGCTTGATAATTCTGTATCTGTCATAAAGAGGTTTTATGAGGTTCTTGTCCTGCTTAGTTACCTGAAAAACATGAAATTAATTATCGTTCCTTTCTCAGACAAGAGTGAAACATGTCAGTAGTTTTAGCAGGCAAAAAAATTCATGAGGCCTCAAAGTAAAGGATTATAATACTATAATGCAACAGTAATTAGAAAAATAGTAATGGACGTAATCATACAAAGCAACTTCTAAAGAGAAAGGTTTGGTCAATTTAGATTTCTAAACAGGGAACTGCAAATTAATATTGGTCTTGAAATCCGAGAACATGAGTTCAGGTAACTTGATTCAAAACTTACAAGCTATTTTTAACATGGAAAATTATGTAATCTTTGAACCTCAGTTTCCTAACATGGCAGAATGAGGATTGCTTTTAATAAGTTATCATATGTAAATGTCCCTGGTAGATTAATATCCAGAATATACAAGGAACTCAAACAACTCAATAACAAGAAATCAAATAACCAATCAAAATATGGGCACAAGAGCTGAATAAACATTTCTCAAAAGAAGACATGCACATGAACAACAGGTATATGAAAAAATGCTGAACATCACTACTCATCAAGGAAATGCAAATCAAAACCACAATGAGATATCATCACACTCCATTTAGATTGGCTATTAACAAAAAGACAGAAAATAACAAATGCTAGTGAGGATGCAGAGAAAGGGGAACACTTATACACTTTTGGCAGGAATGTAAATTAGTACAACCGCTATGGAAAACAGTGTGGAGATTCCTCAAAAAACTACAAATAGAACCATCATATAATCCAGCAATCCCACTACTGGGTGTATACCCAACGGAAGGGAAATCAGTATGATAAAGAGGTATTTGCATCCTCATGTTTACTGCAGCACTATTCACAATAGTCAAGATATGGAATCAACACAAGCGTCCATCAACAGATGAATGGAATAAAGAAAATGTGGTATACATACACAATGTAGCAATATAAGGCCATAAAAAGAACGAAATTCTGTCATTTGAGGCAACATGGATTAGCTTAGAGAACATTATGTTAAGTGAAGCAAGCCAGGAACACAAAGAGAAACACCACATGTCTCTCTCATGTGGAAGCTGAGAAAGTTGATCACATAGAAGTAGAGAGTTAGAATGGCAGTCACCAGAAGTTAGAAAGGGGAGGGGGGGGCCGGCCCGGTGGCGCACTGGATAGTGCGCCGCTTGGGAAGCGTGGCGGCGCTCCC